CTAAAAAATGGTGGTGTCTCTTTTTTCCTGTTTGCCACTAATCACATTCTGGTGATATCTTAAGGCTTATTTGGTCCAATCCCAAGTACATATTGTTTTCCTTAAAAGTCATCTAATTACACTGCAATATTATTGACAGCATCTAGGATAATTAAGCACATACATTTCCATCTAGATAATAGTTATTAAATACAGATGCCTTTTTATTTCCCAAGGCATCCCTTTTCTACTCACCTTTATTTTTTTTCATCTTTATTTTTAAAAACTTGATTATAGTTTTGTCAAAGCCAGTGGACCTATCTAGTCAGTTGCCTGTCCCAGTACCCTCTGGCAAAAGGACTACACTCATCACACACAGACAGGCAAGGCTTACAACCACTGAGCAGGTGTGCGGAGCTGGGAGACCACACATCAAGAACAATGCAAAACAGTGGTTCCTGGTGCAGATGACTTCATGTTCATTAAGGGGAAATAAAGAAGAAATCTAAAAATGAACACATGGTTCAAAGTATTTTTAAAAATACAATATGCATATTTTATAAACAGTGACATAATTTTTTCCTAGCTGTTTTTAAGATGCTTTGCTTCCCCTCCGCTGTTACTAGATGGTGACAACTAAGAGAAATGGTCCTTGAAGTTCTGGCTCAAGGCTCTGTATTGGTGCATGTCTTAGGTAGCATGCCAAGCTGGATATAACTTAGATGTTTCTGTTTTGGTAACTGTTAACTGTTAATAGCAGCTACACAGTTTCACAAAGCATCACTGTGAAGGTGCATGTGCTCAATGCAATCCCACCACATTCCTTGGACAGTTTAGCACAGAGGTGTCAAGAGCATAGCAGGACACCCACCCTTTGAAGCAATGTCCCTGTGCCCTGTGACTAGGACAAGGTAGTGGGCAGTTTCATATGCCTGTGGTTTCCATAATTTAAGGGAAGTATGGCAGCAATACAAAATTTTCTCTTAAATTTACAAGACTCCTATGAAATGAGAAAATACCCATTCCAGCATAATTATTTCTCCTAATGCCCCAATGTCTAAAATCTGCAGGAATCAGTCACTCCCATCCTCAGAATACTGTAGCAATGGATATAAAGCTGGACAGAAACATACTCAAAGAGTTAGACTACATATGGATGAGCCTTTGTTTCACTCACAAACCCACATGAATACACCACCAAAAGGGCACCAAGTTCAGAGTAGCTAACATCCTAACCAACTCCGAAGCATCAAAACTGCATTTCTTACTAAAACAAATCTGTTGGGTTTTTTGTCCTTTTTTCTTAAAATTAAGGCAATGGAATGGCTACAGTTCCTAAAGTTCATTTTATGGAACAAAAATATACATGCATTTTCCTCCTTAAGTTCAGGTGTCAGAGTGTGACTAGAGGCCTGTACTCCACAAAACCTGCTCACCAGCCCGTTACAGGCCAGTGAGCACCGGCAGTGCCTTCTCCTCCTGCCAGATTCAAACTGAATCACAGGAAGAAAAGCACCACAGCACAAAACCTATTCAGAATTTTCGCATTGATTCAAAACTTTTGGGGTGACAGAGGGGAGGAGTTTATTAAATGAAAAAACCCAGAGCCCACAAACAGAAATTCTGACAATGATGGCCTTCAGTTGGGTCCAGTTCCTCAGCGCTGCAGATGGTCCACAGACGTTTGAGAAACATCACCGAACATAGCCACCTAATATTTCACAACGAAAATTTTAAACTTTGGCTAGTCACCTAATGTTTGACAAAGAGGGAAAAGGCACTGAACATTTCATGGTGCCCTTATCTGTTTGCACATATATATTTCCTTTTGAAAATGTTAAATCACCATTCAAAACCTACAGAATACTTATGACCGACTGTGGTAACACCTAATAGCAGACGCTGATTTGAGGCTGAGCTCTCCTGTCGCAACTGCATTCATTACATGTCAAGCTCTCCAAAACCCCAATGGCCAAGAAACTGAAGGACAGGACAAGACTCAAGTCAACTTTTAGCAATTCAGTGCACTTTGCAGAAAGGATCTAAATTAAGCATAGAGTTTTGTTCTTTATTTTACACAAAGGAGACCACCAACATTTGCCATAAATTCTTCCAAACTCTTTAGAAAAGCCATCTTTTGTTTCCGATCCAGCGTAGGAGGGGTGCTGCTTGCAGTGAGCTTGTTGAAGGCATCTGCTAATCTCTGGTAAATAACTGGGTCTTGTTGACTTGACAGCAATGTTTCAACCAATTCAGAGTACTCGGCCTATTGAAGAGATAAAGTGCATATAAAAACACATCTTCCTCAATCACCAGACAAGTAGGTCATATCAGTTACTGGATGGTGGGATTCTAAGAGGCAGGGTCTGCCAGCTCTTCTTCAGTTAGCACATAATCTAGGTTCCATCCCAGCCTTTGCCATTGCTAATTCACCTACTATAACAACCCTACGAGGCAAGTACTGTTTATATTCCTGTTTTATAGGAAGTTTATATAACAGTGAGATTAACTAATACATCCAAAATCATACTGCCTCTGAGCAAGAATCCAGGCTGTTTGGCTCCAGAAGCAATGTATTACCAATTTTGTTGTGTTGCCTCTTTGTGTTTTCAAAGCACATTATTCATGTTTGTTTTGCATTTTATATATAAAATAAGTCTGCAACCTTTGGACATTTTCCAAGAGGTTTCTACAGACACTATGTCCACGCAGTTCTACAGAGAGCGGGTCACACAAATGCAGGTGAGAGGTGGCAGAGTGGGAGAAGGGTATTTCGGTCCTTTCTCAAAGTGGAAGTAGAAAATCTGAATGACTGTGCACATGCAGCTCAAACCAGCGTTGTGGCTCAGCGGCTCCGGAAAAAAGGACAGGAGGAGCTTAACAAATACAGGGATATGATGTGTGTATCTTTTATGTTGTTAGTGCCCTTCATAATATAGCCTTATACCAGCGGTTCTCAACCTGTGGGTTGCGACCCCTTTGGGGGTCGAACGACCCTTTCACAGGAGTCGCCTAAGACCATCGGAAAACACATATATAATTACATATTGTTTTTGTGATTAATCACTATGCTTTGTGTTCAATTTATAACAATGAAAATACATCCTGCATATCAGATATTTACATTATGATTCATAACAGTAGCAAAATTACAGTTATGAAGTAGCAACAAAAATAATTTTATGGTTGGGGGTCACCACAACATGAGGAACTGTATTAAAGGGTTGCGGCATTAGGAAGGTTGAGAACCACTGCCTTACACAGAGGTGTGTGGGTGAGGCATTAAAGGAAATGAAAGCAGGGCAGCTTTCTAAAATAAACTCTCTCTTTTTTAAATCCTCACCCAAGGATATGTTTTCAGAGAGAGGAAGGGAGAAAAAGAGAGAGAGAAAAACATCAATGTGAGAGAGAAACATCGACTGGTTGCCTCCTTTCTGCGACCCGACCAGGGATCGAACCCAAAACCTGGGTATATGCCCTGACCACGAATTAAACCCGAAACCTTTCTGGTGTACGGGATGATGCTCCAACCAACTGAGCCACCCGGCCAGTGCAATAAGCTTTCTTGAAGAAAGCTGGTCTGCCACTATTTTTCATTAGCTTCTTGGCATATCATGATGGACCAAAATGGCAAAACCATGTTAGTTACAATTGGAAAAGAAGAGCAGGGGACAGCACCCTACCACACCCAGGCATGGAGCCAGAATGGCTGCCTTCACTGCCCCCTCCAAGGGACAGGCCTGTTCACAGGGGAACAAGAATAAACTCAAACCATGTCCCTGCTAATGTGTACTGGCTGTGTCACTGGGCCAAAACAGTAGGACATCATCCTCACCAATCCCAAGCTTCTGTTCTCTGTTCTACATGCATGAATATGTTTTTGTGGGTTTTTTAAAATATATTTTATTGATTTTTTACAGAGAGGAAGGGAGAGGGATAGAGAGTTAGAAACATCGATCAGCTGCCTCCTGCACACCCCCTACTGGGGATGTGCCCGCATCCAAGGTACATGTCCTTGACCGAAACCGAACACGGGACCCTTCAGTCCGCAGGCCGACGCTCTACCCACTGAGCCAAACCGGTTAGGGCTGTATGAATATGTTTTTAAAAAGGCAACCAGAGCCCTGGCCAGTTTGGTTCAGTGGATAGAGTGTTGGCCTTCGAACTGAAGGTTTGATTCCGGTCAAGGGCACCTACCTCAGTTGCAGGCTTGATACCTGGCCCCGATCGGGGCGCATGCAGGAGGCAACAGATCGATGAGTCTCTCTCACATCAATGTGTCTCTCTCTCACTCCCCTTACCTTCCAATCTCTAAATCAATGGAAAAATATTCTCAGGTGAAGATTAACAACAGCAAAAAAAGGCAACCAGAATATAATGACTTATGTATTTTCCTAGTAAGAACAGGAAATCAAATGTCAGAAAGGCCCCTTACTGGGATGGGCATCATCTCAGGAAGTGAACTTCTGAACACCTGCACAAACAGTACAGAAGCCTGCCTAAAGGCGGCCTTCAAGTACTTTGACAATCGCTTTGAAATCCTATCTTTCTAAAAGAGAAAATAAATGAAGCCCCGAGGGTCAGTCATAGCAGATGCTATGGCCTCTACCCTTTTTTAAAAAAAGATTTTTTATTGATTTTAGAGAGGAAGGGAGAGAAAGAGAGAAGCATCGATGTGAAAGTGAAATATCACCCATGTTCCCTGACGGGGAATTGAACCAGCAACCTTTCAGTGCATGGGACAATGCTCAACCAACTGAGCCACACCAGCCAGGGTGGCCTCTACACTTTTTGAAAAAGTCTTAGTGACCTGCTGGTTTGGGTCAGTGGTTGAGCATTGACCTATGAACCAGAAAGTCACAGTTCGATTCCCGGTCAGGGCACATGCCCAGGTTGCGGGCTCGATCCCCAGTATTGGGTGTGCAGGAGGCAGCTGATCAATGATTCTCTCTCATCACTGATGTTTCTCTTTCTCTCCTCTCTCTCTCTCTCTCTCTCTCTCTCTCTCTCTCTCTCATGTGTGAGGAATGGGGGGGGATAGGTTTTGGGAAACTGATTCTTCACATACACTTGATGGGCATGTACAATAGGGAAGGGAGATGGGTGAGCCAGCATAACTTTTCCTCTTCTGTTATACTGGCCCCACATCAGTGACTGCTTCAGTCTTTAAAGTCTCAAAGAAGAAGGAAGGGGGGCAAGGGAGGTGAAGGTAAGGGAAGAACATTTTCCATATTGTAGTATGGAATAAATACTGTTGTTGCCCGGCTCTCTGAAGGCAGTCTCTTCTGGGTGCCCCGTCTCATTCATCTTGTTTTTCTTACAAAACTGAGTTCCTCAAGGACAGAAGCACATATCCATTATCCTCTCATATCTGATTCCTGGTTCCTAACAATTGTGTAAGGATAAGCTTTAGGGCAAAGGACGGGTCATAACAGTGCAGAAGGTATAATAAATGCTTATTAACTGACAAACAGCTTTTCCAGTTAAAAAAAGCCAGAGCTAATGAGGTTAAGAAACAGGACTACACTGCAACAGAACTGTAGCTCTGAGTCAGAGATCCCCTAAGATCTGGAGGGTTAACACCCACCGTGGATCTGAATCATCTCCTTCTAACAGACCAGTGCCCCAAGGAGCTGCGGCCCGTACCTGGTGCAGGCACACCAACGTGTAGAACGCCTCACCGGCTGCTGTCGTCATCTCAGTGTTGTGCTTCTGCAGAACCAGCATATCAAAAACCAGCTGAAAGTGCACAAGGAAACCGCTAAATAAAGACACACAACACAAAAATCACATAGTCCTCCAGCTCCTCCCTGCTCCAAAATAGAAAGAGAGGGCGGTATGTGTTCATTAAATATATCTGAAAATTAAAGAAAATGTTTTTTTTTTTAAAAGTCCAAGAATAAGATATGGATGTGACTACCTGTGGTATAATAATTAAATTATCCCACTACCCATTATATTTACATCAATTTTTAAGAATACAAAGTAGAAGTGGAGAGTTACATGTCCAGAAAGTGGATCTCCAGAAAACACAGTGAATAGAAAGTGACTATTAAAGAAAGTAAGCATTTCCTGATTTGGAAGATTTATGTGTACTGACAGTCCTTATCAAAGCAGGTGACCTCACAACCTGCTATCCAAGCACCTTACCTTCAGAAAGTGCCGTGTCGCTAGAAACAGTGGTGAGTCTGTATCTTGAGCTTTTGCACACTGTTCAGCCAATGGTGTCAGGGCCTCCAGGCACAGCTGGCAAACCTCCGAGCTCATTCTGATCATGAAGGTCAAAGAGCAAATGCAAGGAGACAAACTTGATATATTCAAGACCAAAAATTACAGCTATTATCATTTCTAGAAATGAATGCAGGTAAGCTAGAGCTCGAACAATGTGCCTTTACAGAGCTAAGTGGAAAAAGACTCCCAAGGTTTTGAGGTGATCCACACGTGTTTGGGGTCTGCAACTGGAGACTTCCAGCATGTTTCTGATTATGAGGCACACATTGATAAAAGCCTTGCTATTTTCTACCATCGGGTAACTAAGATCAGACACCCAGCAACAGTATGTGAAATTATTTGGGAAGCAGGGGCCAAATGTCCCTGGAATCTGTGAAAGGAGAAAAAGAATGTGATAAACTAACAACAACAAAATAAACACAGAATTAGGGCAGTTATAGAGATGGTGGCTTTTTAAAGAAATAAAACTGAAATACAAAATAAAAAGTTTTAAAACTTCAGGTAAGATCTTTTCCCCACGTGATAAGTGGTAACAATGCCTATTTAAAGGATACGAAGTCATTCCCAGTTCTAGAGAGCACATCAGACTTTTAAAAAGGTCTTCAGGAAGCTGTGGTATTTTTTCAGGAAAAATCTCACAAATAAATGTAATTAATTTGTAGTATTGATTACAAAGTGTTGGAAACTGAAAAAGAAAAATTAAATATTTAGATGTTTAATGTTATCTAATTTTATTTTCTTTAATACAAAACAGTAACAATAACAGGCAAGCTTCTAAGTATAATGATTTTTAAAATTATTTTTAGAACAAGAAAAGAAGGGAGAGGGAGGAGGGAAAGAGGGAGAGAGACAAACAATGACTTTTTATTCCACTTATTGATGCATTCACTGGTTGATTCTTCTATGTGCCCTGACCGGGACTGAACCCGAAACCTTGGCATATCGGGACTACTCTCTAACCAACCTGGTTAGTGCATAATGATATTTTAAAAAACACATACAAGATGCCTGGTCGGTGTGGCTCAGTGGTTGAACATCGACATATAAACCAGGAGATCACGGTTTGATTGCCGGTCAGGGCACATGCTCGGGTTGCAGGCTCAGTACTCAATGGGGGGCAACCAATCAATGATTCTCTCTCATCATTGATGTTTCTAACTCTCTCCTTCTTTCTTCCTCTCTGAAATCAGCTAAAACATATTTTTAAAAAGAGAGAGAGAGAGACAGAATAGGAAGCAATGGTCTGGAAATCTATGGCCTTCTCATTCTGACACTCGTACTCTTCCCTCCCCCCCTCTCACCCCCACTGTCTGTGCACATGTACACAGGCGAACACACCTCCCTCTTCCTCTCCATTCATGTCCTTGTCCTCAGCTTCAGACTCCTATGACATCTCATGAAAACAGGGGTAAGAAAGGCAGCCTCATTACCATCACACCCAATACTGAGTGGTAAAACCAACGTACCGCACAGTCTGAAGGTACAAAATTAAAAACTGTATGAGTCTTGGTTTCTTACCATCCTATTTCTACATGGAGGGACTTATAAATTCCTTCCACTGTTTAATCCCTCAACCTGAGAATAATGTTCAACAAGTACCAGAAGAATGTGTACACCTGAACACCTAACATAACTTTAATTGCTTAATGACAAATGATGAGGGAATCAAAACTGCTAACATTAGAATGCAGTTTCTAAAAGCCCCATTTTTTCTGTAGTAACCTATTTTGAATGCAGGACTCTGGGGCAGGAGTGAGGGCCTGTGTTCTGAGCTGTAAACATGAGTGTTAATGACACTAACAGTAACTCAAATGTTTTATTTCCATGTGTACTTATCAGACAAACAGGTATTCATATCCTTTAGTTAAATCAGAGGCACATTCTTGTCTAAAATATCTTGAAACTTAGAGCACACACATTTTAATGTTCACATTCACTTTCTTTTCTTCAATTACCTTCAAAAGATCTTGTGACATCAAGGGCAGAATTAGGTTGACTCCATATAAAACAACATCCGCTGCTGACACAGACCTGCTTGCTGCTTGCCCCGGCTCATGTCCCCTAAACACTTCATCTATAAACAGAAACCACGCAGTCTTACAGCCATAACATCAACAAATTTGCAAAGTTGGATACATTCTACTTTTGAGAAAGAAAAACAGATTTGAATCCTAAGCCACAATAAATCTGACCTGATAATAGGACACCTGGTAAGCTTGCCTGCGTCACCCTTCTGCATTTCACTTTTTAGGGTCTCAGAGTACTCTATATAGATGGTATTCTGTGTTTACATCAAATATTACTCTTCAATAATAAAAGAAAACTGCCAGGCCGGCATGGCTCAGTGGTTGAATGTCGACCTATGAACCAGGAGGTCAAAGTTTGATTCCGGATCAGGGCACACACCCGGTTGCGGACTCAATCCCCAGTATGGGGTGTTCAAGGAGGGAGCCGATCAACGATTCTCTCTCATCACTGATGTTTCTATCGCTCTCTCCTTCTTCCTTCCTCTCTGAAATCAATAAAAAATATATTTAAAATAATAAGAGAAAACTAAAGCTAAATCAATGTTGTGAAAAGTAAATCTACTCTACTGACACACTAGTCGCACTATGAATTAATTAATTTCCACAATAATATCTATTTTATCTCTTACATGTGTGGAATTTTTTTTAGCTGAAAAGGAATGGGGGAAAATATGGAAATTAACATGTTATATAAAAAAGAAAGTCATTAAAAAAAAAAAAAAAGAGCTACCAAGATGAAGTGTTTATTATCCTTAATCCATGCCTATAAATTAATAGGAATCATAAGACCTAAACAGATAAGCAAGCAAAGTCCATAAACAAACATCTAACGAAACCACCAATCCAATGAAAAACAGTTCATTCGAATCAAGCAATGCAATTTTTTTTTTTAAAAATCCCTCACCCAAGGATATTTTCTCCATTGATCTCCAGAGAGAGTGTGGGAGGGGGAGAGGAGAAGAGGGGAGAAAGAGAGAGAGAGAAACATCAGTATGAGAGACACATCAACTGGTTGCCTCCTGCACACGCCCCAACCAGGACCGGGGATTGAACCTACAACCAAAGTATGTGCCCTTGACAGGGAATTAAACCCTCGACCCTTCGGTCCAAAGGCTGATGCTCTAACAACTGAACAACTGGCCAGGACTAAAGTTACTATTTCTGATTCATTAAATTCAAGATGACTTTTTTTGTTGTTGTTAATCCTCACCTGAGGATATTTTTCCATTGATTTTTAGAGAGAGTGCAAGAGAAAGGGAGAAACAGAGAGAAACATCAATGTGAGAGAGATACATTGATTAGTTGCCTCCTGCACATACCCTAACCAGGGTCAGGGACCCTGCAACTAAGGTATGTGCCCTTTGCCAGAATCAAACCCAGGACCTTTTAGCCTATAAGCCGATACTCTATCCACTGAGACAAACTGGCAAGGGCTCAAGATGACTTTTAAAGGATAATATGTACATGTTGGTCAGGATATAGTGTGATAGTTACCCTTAAGAGCTATATAGTAAAAACCTTTTGAGCACTGTATATACTAAAAGATATAATCAGAAATTCAGACAGAGATTTGTCCACAGAAATGATTACTGTATCTCTATTTGTAACAGTAAAATCATAAATATTTCAGAAGTCCAATATCAGTGAAATTGATTAAATTCCCAAATGTGGAAAACCATTCAGCCATCAAAAAGTCATAAAAAAAATTTAATAAAGAGAAAAGGGTCAATAATCCTATCTAATAATAGACAAACATGGTAATTGAACGTACCTTTGCTACACCTCCCATAGGCTAATCAGCAAAATATGCAAATTAACCGCCAACAAAGATGGCGGCTAATTTGCATAGCTGCAGGCAGGGCGGGACAGCACAGCCACCAGT